TACCGCCTTCAACTTTTATGAGCGACCGGGCGTTTAATGTTAGCAATTTGTTGTGTTATCTGGGCTGTATAGCAAATGAAAATATACAATTACTTCACTATGTAAGTAAAAAAACATTGCGCGTTTTAATATTCACGTGTCGCGTTTGTTTTTGATGATAAATTCAGGGCCCATCTACACACACACACACACACGCGCGTGTTCGCAGTCTTGTGTGTGACCACAACACACGCACACGCGCGTACACAGCCTTACAAAGCAACACCCGTGTTGCAGTTCTCCCGACGCATCTGTGGCTCGATCGGCAACGGTGTCCCGACGTTCCGCCCCGCGTCGCGCCGGGAGGGGCCCCGCCGGGAACGTCCGTCCCGTCCCGTCCCGCGCCGGTGCCCCGCCCACCTGCAGCTCCTGAAGCGAGGCTCGCGGAGCGAAACGTCGGACGGACACCCGCCACGGAGCGTCGCCGGGGAGACAGCGGCGCGGGGGCCCTGCGCATCGTCACCGCTCTCGCCAGCCGCCGCGCGGCCCCTCGTGTTAGCGCGGCGCCGCCACCGCTCGCTGCGGTCGGCGCTTGTCCCCCCCACCCCCCCCCCCCGAACAATCTGCGAGAGGCGACGCGGCGTTTGGGGGGGGGCGGGGGGGGGGTACGCGCGGCGCCTCCGTGATCGTCGTCATTCACGGACGAGCGAAGCGCGGCCGAGCTTCGATCGTCTCTGACTTTGCGCAAAAAAAACCTTCGGCCGGGACCCACGTGTGTGGGGGACGGTGGGGGGGGGGGGGCTTCGAGTTAACGCGGACGACGAGAAAGAAAATACAAAATGGACTTGAGACGTCGGAGGCGTCCGTGGGCGCCGTTACACCCGCGGCCAAACCTAAAGTAAAAACACAGCTGCCACCGCCGCCACCGCCGCCACCGCCGCCACCGCCGCCACCGCCGCCACCACCGCCCGCCGGGACGCCGGCCGGCGTGACGATTCTCCATGGAAGAGAACGTCGCAAATTGTCAACTCGCGCTTTTAAGAGCAGCTTACAGAGAGAGGGGGGAGGAAGGGAACAATCACCAGGGGACGGACGGACGGACAGGGAGGAGCGGCTGTCAGGCTGCCTGGCTGGCTGGCTTCCTGGCTGGCTGCCTGGCTGCCTGGCTTCCTGGCTGGCTTCCTGGCTGGATGCCTGGCTGCCTGGCTGCCTGCCAGGCTGCCTGGCTGGCTTCTTGGCTGGCTGCCTGGCTGGCTGCCTGGCTGGCTCGCTGCCTGCCTGGCTTCGTGGCTGGCTTCCTGGCTGGCCGCCTGGCCGGCTGGCTGCCTTGCTTCCGGCGTAACACACGAAGGGGGGGGGGGGGGGAGCAGAACAGAAGCGACGAGGAGACCGACTCGACAATGAGACCTCACGAAACGTCTCTCTTTCTCTCCGTAAGAAAAAATTGGTCCAGTATTCTCGAGGGATTGACGATTATGATTATTATGATTTTATATATATTTGCGTGTGTATATATATTTTTAAAACTTTGACCGCAGCAGGGAGTTTTTGGGGGTGTTGGGAGGGGGGGGGGCCCTGCCCGCGCATCGCCACGCACGAGCAGGGGGCGGTGTGTAGTGGGGGGGGGGGGGGGTGCTGGGTCCAATGGCCCTCGCAAGCAACGACGGTCACGGCCTTCGAACGCAGAAGACGGCGGTGCTTCCAGACGCGCTTCCGCGGCCGTCTGGAACGCTCCCTTCCCCTTACGATATATTCGGAAGCCACTGGGAGCTGTGCCACTGTCAAATCATCATCATCTCGATTGGAAAACGAATTTCTTTAGAGCTGCTTTTTGCGCGTTCAGTTTGTTATCCTTGCCACCGCACCTCCGATTGGCACGGCCGGCTACGTACGGTGCGAACGAAGTTCAACGTACAAACGTACAAACGCGCACGCGTACATCAATCCCGAACCAATCGCGACTCTGCAACAACAACAACAACGACGACCCAAAAAGAGCTGAAAAGAACCCCCAGCGAACGTTCGCAAATCAAACGGGACCTGGCGATGCCACGGCGGGCGGTGGCGTCCGGGCAGTGCCGGATTATCCCATTGGCACAAGTAGCTACTACACGTGTAGTAGTAGATACTTGTGCTACTAGTAGCTACTACTTGTGCTACTAGTAGTACAAGTAGTAGCTACTAGTAGCTACTACACGTGTAGTAGTAGCTACTTGTGCTACTAGTAGCTACTTGTGCTACTAGTAGTACAAGTAGTAGCTACTAGTAGCTACTAGTAGCTACTACACGTGTAGTAGTAGCTACTTGTGCTACTAGTAGCTACTTGTGCTACTAGTAGCACAAGTAGCTACTACTACACGTGTAGTAGCTACTAGTAGCTACTAGTAGCTACTACTTGTGCTACTAGTAGCACAAGTAGCTACTACTAGTAGCTACTACACATGTAGTAGTAGCTACTACTACACGTGTAGTAGTAGCTACTACTACTACACGTGTAGTAGTAGCACAAGTAGCTACTACTACACGTGTAGTAGTACACATGCAGTAGCACAAGTAGCTACTACTACAACATAAGTAGTAGCTACGCGTGTAGTAGCTACATGTGTAGTAGCTACATGTGTAGTAGCTACATGTGTAGTAGCTACAACATAAGTAGCACAAGTAGCTACTACTACATGTGTAGTAGCTACTTGTGCTACTACACATGTGCAGTAGCACAAGTAGCTGCTACTACACGTGTAGTAGCTACGGGCCCCGCACTTTCAAGGGCCCCGCGCTAAATGGTTTCAAGCTATCAATTCCGGTTCGGCGACTCTGCACTTGCTCTATTACTATAGTACTATACCGCCTTCGACTTTTACGAACGACTGGGGCGTTTAAGGTTAGCGATTTGTCGTATTATCTGGGCTGTATAGCAAATGAAAAAATACAATTACTTTACTATGCAAGTAAAAAATTTGTGTTTTAATATTTACGTGTTTTTTTAAATTTAGGGCCGCTTTATAACATAATGCTACAGGCCCCGCACGAGCTTAGTCCGGCACTGGGGGGGGGGGGGGTGGGGGTTAACCGCTCCGGACATGGCAGTGCCCGACGGTAACGTCCAGTTGATTCCCCCGCGTAGATTTGCCTCCCTTGTACCCCACTCCCTGCCCCCACCGCTCGCCGCTGTCCGGAAACCCGCTCAGCTCTGATACCAACCAGGATTTCGGCACGAACTGGGGGGGGGGGGGCTCCCTGCGATAGGGGGGGGGGGCACCGGCCAATTTCTGGTCTTTATCATCTCTTGCACGGAGGGAATCTCAGCAGCAGCAGCAGCTTAGCTTCTATTTTTTTTGGTCTGCTTCTCGAAAAACGCGCCTCCGTTCGTTTGTGCTGTCCGTCGTCGTTTTTTTGTGCCGGGGGAGAGGGGCGGCGGGGGGGGGGGGGCGGGTTCTTCTTTTGTGCCACCTTTTTCCTGCAGGCTTCGCCGTGTGCGGGCGGGGGACGCTGCCTTCGGAATTCTTGTGCTTGAGAGCTTCAGTGCTTCGACGTCGGCCTGAAAGCCAGACAGAGTCGCGGTGGGACGCCCGTTGGGCCAGGCTGTCTCAGCTGGGGGGGGTGGGGGGGGGGAGTTGCCTCCCAACGTTAGGAGGAGGAGGAGGTTTTTAAGAAATGCGATTTTTGTCCGACCAGGAGAGATATCCCCCGTGGTGAGATCCGCGCCTCGTTTCTCAAAAGTTTGGGGGGGTCTCCGGCGATGGCGGCAAGCGACGCTGGCTTTGTCAGTCCCACCGGTTTAAGGATGTCCTGTGCACAAGGCGAGTGCTGGTGGTGCTGGTGGGCTGGTTAGGATGAGGGGGGGGGCGCGTACATAGCGGCCGGTTTATGTGTTAACAGAGCTTCGGTGAGTCCCTGGGAGCTCTGCGCGGAACCTCTGTACAAAGTATTTACAGCGAGCGGTGATGCACGCGGTGGGGGGGGGGGGTTCGACCGCCTCCGATGACGCTCCGCGGCGGGTGCCTGTCCGACGTTTCGCTCCGCGAGCCTCGCGGGCCGGTGGGCGCGTCGTCGTTTCTACTTCTTCTCACAGAGGCACTCGAATCGACGCTCTCAGGCGCTCGCGAGCTGAGCACGCACGCCCACACTCGTGCATCGCGCACGTGCGTTCGCGCTTGCGCAACCACACGCGCTCGCAAGCTCGGATCGCTCGGCGGGACTCTCCGTGCCGTTCCGTTCTCCGCTCCCACCTCGTTGTTGGCGACGCTACGGGGGGGGGGGGGGGGGTGGGGGGGGGGGGCGTGAGGGAGAGGACGTGGCGGGGGAGGGGGGGAATCACGGCGACGACGCTGACCGCGATGACCACAACACCACCACCACCACCACCACCACGACGGACGACGCTTTGTAAAAACCGAACGCGTTTTCCCGACGACGAGCAGCTCACTCCGGGGGGGGGGGGGGGGGGCGGCGGGGGGAGAGGGGCGGGGCCTCACTCCGCTACCCCGCTACGCTATCGGGAACGCCCACCCCCACCAGACCCCTCCCCACTGCCGACACTCGCCACCCCCCGAGAGTCGGCAGCGGTCACTCCCCAACGGCCAACTCCCTCGCAAACCCGCTCTTCTTTGGATTATTCGTCGCACGGTCTCGCGAGCGCGCCCGCCCGCCCGCCCGCACCCACGTCCTTGTTCGCGGGAAAGCTC